ACTATGGGCAATTTTTAGCTGCCAATATGATGTCACAAAACATGAAGTTGGAAACACAATAGCATACCATTATATACTATTTCCCTATACCTATAGAAGACAGAAAATCACCTCAAAAGCATGGATGATAGTAAGTTGCGAAATAATTAAGAGGTAATGAATTTTACATAATTATAACCTTTGTTCTTAATATAATCTAATTGCATACTTATATAATTTAATTTTTTTTTTTTTTAGAGACAAGGTTTCTCCATGTTGGTCAGGCTGGTCTCGAAATCCTGGCCTCAGGTGGTCCACCTGCCTCGGCCTCTCAAAGTGCTGGGATTACAGGTGTGAGTCACTGTGCCCGGCTTTTATAATTTAATATTTAATAGTGGCTTTTTAAATTTCTGAAAAGTTAACCATCAGCTCCCATAAGCTGGTATAAATGGGTTCCAGGCCCCTGGATCAGAACATTTCCCCTGGAGTGAACTGCTGAGGCTAGGACTCTGAGCTGATAGGAAGAGACAGGCGTCTAACTGCTCTGGGCCTGACTGCCAGGTAGCTGTTCATTTGCCCTCTGTCACCAACATCAGGTGCTCTAGGCTACCTAGGAGAGGCTCAACAAATACAGGTCATCCGAGTTAAATAATGTGTGATGTCAACACCCAAAGCTGAGCATCTCAGCTGGCCAGAGCCGCAGGTGTAGGAATCAAAGAAGGAGGAGGAAGTGTTACATAATTGATGTCAACACAGATTCCAATGCAGAATGAAAACAGGTGGGGATGAATTGGCAGGGATTCGGGAAGCCCAGCTTCCCGGAGAGACCTGAACTTTGAGAACTCCAGCCGGGTGTTCCCAGAACCTGGATATTTCCGGGCTTTACCCCAGAACCTTCTGAATCAGAATCTTCCCAAGGCAGAGCCCATAAATCCCCTGCTGATTCTTGGGTAGTCCCTGCATGGCTGGGATCTGCTGATCGGTCCACCTCACTGGTCTTGGCGATGACGAGGGCAGACTCTGGGGAGTGGCTGGAGCTGCAGCCAGGGCACCCTCTCTGTACACTCTTGTGCTTGAGCAGGAGAGCTTTGCCCTGGCCAGCTTACTTGGCAGTTAATAGCACAGGCCTTGGATCCTTAGCTTAAAACCCAGGCTCCACCTCTAGTTGTTGTATAACCACTGTGAGCCTCAGCTTCCAAATGGGGTAATAACACTGTTGTGGGATTACAGATCATGTGCCTAAAGTATCCTGGGCAGTGCCTGTAAGTATCCTGTCAGTGGTAGATGTGGTCATTAAGGTCATGCAACTGGACAGTAGCAGACCCCAGGCCCCCAATACTGTTTAAACATAGCAGAGAGAACTAGAGACCCTAAAGTAGAAGGGGCTTTCATAACTCGAAGGTACAAACTTTGATGTTGCATAAGGAAAAGAGTCCCAGGTGAAGAGTTAGAGGACCCGGTGGCGTTTGGTCTCAGCTGTGCCAATTATTGTGTTCGAGGGCAAAGAGTTTTAGTTTCCAGGTAGTAGATGCTAAATAGGTGCCAGGTGGCCCAATCCCTCAGTCCACTTGGCATTTTGCCGCTGCTGTAGTGCCACCTCAGAGTGCCCAGGTGTCTCCTTATCTTTCTATCTCCAGGCTTTCTCCAAAACCCAGCAAAGGTCACATAACTCAGGGCAAGCCCAGCCAGTGTCCCAATTATCTATTGTGATGTAACAAACCACCCCCAAACTTCCAGGGATTATGACAGCAATCATTTATTTTGCTCATGATTCTGTAATCTGCAGGCTGGCTGGGCTTCACTCTGTAGGGCATCAGCTGGGCCTGGAGTGTTTAAGATGGCAACTCAGCAGGGTCAGTTCTCTCTCTATGTGGCATCTCCATGGGCTAGTTTGGGCTACTTCACAGTGTGAGTCTCAAGGTACTTGGATTTCTTACATTGCAGCTGGCTTCCAACAGAACCCACAAGTGGAAGCTGCCAGGCCTTCTTAACACATGGGTTCAGAAATCACAGGAGTCACTTCTGTAATATTCCATTGACCAAAACAGTCCTGGGGGCAGCCCACATTCAAAGGGAATAGATGCTGCTTGTGGCCAGTTCATTTTGCAGGTAAGAATGTGAATCCGGAGATACTATGGAGGTCATCTTTTGATAATACCACCTGTTGCATCCAGCATGTATGAGAGGAGGGTGGGGATGAATTTCCCTGGGGACATCCTTAACCAACAAGGGTGGAATTGGTGGATAAATGCAGAAGGTCCCTGTCCTTCAGATGGACAAATCTGAGGCGTATTCTGTAGGTTTTTCAGGGGAGGTCTAGTGGGATTAAGTCCCAGTTACTAGCAGTTGAACCAGCTCAAAAATGCACATTTATGCCCTTTTCCTGTTTTCCCATGTTTATCTCTACATCCCTTTCTGCTACTTCTTTTGATCATCTCCCAGTTCTAGCCTTAGGCTTTGTTTTCCTGGAAAACCAAACCAAAACGTTTATTAACTCATTTGGAAAAGGCCCTTAAATTGAGGCCTGTAAAATATTGTACCTGGCTCCCTGCTGTTGGCAATCCCACCCAGGAATGAGTGTGAAAGGGCTTTATGAACTGGAAGACTGGGCCCCGTGTGGAGGGTTGCTGGGAGCAGAGGTATTTCTGGGGGAACCATGGGGACTGGGGAGCTGCTGGGGTGGGAGGTCTAGCTCCCAGAATCATTTGGGAACAGTAAGCTGTGAAGATGGGGTGGTGGGGCAAGTGGAAAAGGGGGTGCCAACGACAGTGCTCCCTGGGTGGGGAGAAATAAGGTGTGCTGTATTCCAGTCCTGCCCTGCAGATTCAGGTGACTTGGCACGAGGTAAGGTGACTCACCAGGCCAACTCAGCCTGCGACAAGGGCCCTTAAGATCATCCACCTGGCCTTGTGGGGACTCGCCCTTGTGGAACAAGCCTTGCCCCCTGATTTGGCCTCTGCCCCAGGAACAGAGGGACTAAATTACCAGTGGGAGGGGCCAGGCCTCAGTTCATCTACCCTCCGCTTAGTAAACATGGAAAAGCTGAGCCCTTCTCCACACTGGGCTCCTGGGAAGGAATGTGAAGGTGAACAGACCACTACCTGTGCACTTTAGCGGCTCCCAGTCAGGAGAGGAGGCATGAAACCAGTAGGCAGGGAGCTGGTACATCAGAGGAGCTCGGTGGGACAGAGGCGTCTTGCTGAGGGAGGGGCTCTGGGGCACAGAGGAAGAGCGCCTGGCCAAGTCCGGGAGGGCTACGGGTAATCGTGGAAGTCTTCCCAGAGAAGCTGATCTCCATATCTAATCCCACTAGGTCTCAGGACTTACCCAGGAGAGAAAGAGGAAGAGCGTCAGGGCAGAGGAAACAGCAAGGGCAAAGTGGCTGGAGCCTAGAGAGGTGGGAAAGGAGTGAGAGGAGGCTGGAGAGAGAGGTGGGGAGCAGAAGAGCAATGGGGAGCCCCCGAGGAGTTTAAAACAGAAGAGAAAGGGATCAGGTTTGAGTTTAGGCTGCTGGTTACAGTAATGGCCAGGTGAAAAGGGAGTCAGTATTAGAGGCAGGGAGACCAGCTGATGGGGCTTATTCATTCGTTCATTCATTCAAATATCTGTGGACCCCCTACCAGGTGCCAGACCCTGTGCTGTTGTGGGGATCTACGTGAGGGGCCAGGTGACCTGGACCCTGGTGATGTGGCCACAGTGGATAGACGGGGAGAGATTTTAGGCAGGGGTTTTCACTGTGTTACACAAACACATCCTGGCAATTCACAAGTTGTCATCTGGTTCCTGGACTAGTTGTGCATGAATCTGGAAACTAGAAACCTGTTATTTCAAGAATGGAGAGCTGAAGGGCAGAGCTTAAGACCAAACCTCAGGGGCCTCATTTCTGGGGGCCCCACCCAGACCTGTGCAGCCCAGCCTGCCTGTCCTTCCCTTCCCCGTCATTCTACCCCAGGCTTATGAGAGCTTCAGATGCAGTAGTGGCTGATGATCTTGCCTGCCTCTTTACAGTCAGAAGGTGAAGCCCAGATGTCCTGGTTTCTCTTCATCACCTCTGGCAGGGAGCTAAATGCCTCCTCCAGGGTCATTCAGGAGGTCAGAAGCCCAGTTGGGACCCTGAGGGTCTTTGTGTTCCCCTCCCCATCAGATTAGACTCCTTGAGGGGAGACACTGTCTCCCACCTCAATCAGACTCTGGGTTCTGAGGTTGTCTCCCCTGTCAGATCAGAAACTTGGAGGGTAGAATGAGTAATGGGAATGCAAGTCAGGGAAGCTGCTTTGCTGCCATTTAATAGTTGTTTCCGCCGGGCGCGGTGGCTCAAGCCTGTAATCCCAGCACTTTGGGAGGCCGAGGCAGGTGGATCACGAGGTCAAGAGATCGAGACCATCCTGGTCAACATGATGAAACCCCATCTCTACTAAAAAAAAAATACAAAAAATTAGCTGGGCATGGTGATGCGTGCCTGTAATCCCAGCTACTCAGGAGGCTGAGGCAGGAGAATTGCCTGAGCCCAGGAGGCGGAGGTTGCGGTGAGCCGAGATCACGCCATTGCACTCCAACCTGGGTAACAAGAGCGAAACTCCGTCCCAAAAAAAAATAAAAAACAAAAAAGTTGTTTCCGCTTGGAAAAAAATCCTAGCTGGGCGCATATTGGCTCATGCCTGTAATCCCAGCACTTTGGGAGGCTGAGGCAGTCAGATCGCCTGAGGTCGGGAGTTTGAGACCAGCCCGACCAACATGGAGAAACCCCGTCTCTATTAAAAATACAAAATTAGCCAGGTGTGGTGGCTCACGCCTGTGATACCAGCTACTCAGGAAGCTGAGGAAGGAGAATCACTCGAACCAGGGAGGTGGAGGTTGTGGTGAGCTGCGATCGCACCATTGCACTCCAGCCTGGACAACAAGAGTGAAATTCTATTTCAAAAAAAGAAAAGAAAAAATCCTGTATTTGTCTCAATTTCCTCATTGTAAAATGAGAAAAATAGTACATAGTAGGTACTCAGTAAACATTAGTGGAACAAATGATGGAGAGTTCAGGTGATGCTGGTGGAGAGCAGGTGCTGGTTTACTACGACGGCGGAGAAACCTGCTGGGAACAGAGCCCACAGGAGGAGGAGAGCTGCCTCCATGAGGGCTCCAGTGCCTCAGCAGCCCTCGCCTATCCAATTCTCTCTGCCCTGCATTAAAAATACATCAATGACAGCTGGACGCTGTGGCTTACACCTGTAATGCCAGCACTTTGGGAGGCCAAGGTGAGCGGATCACCCAAGGTCAGGTGTTCGAGACCAGCCTGGCCAACATGGTGAAACCCTGTCTCTTTAAAAAATGCAAAAATTGCCTTCTTGCCTAACGCGGCCAACACAGTGGTGTTCAGGTGCTTCTTGGAGGTTGGCCAGGTGGCCTACATCTCCTTTGGACCTCATGCAGGAAAACTGGTCGCGATTGTAGATGTTACTGATCAGAACAGGGCTTTGGATGATGGGCCTTGCACTAAAGCGAGGAGACGGGCCATGGCTTTCAAATGCATGCAGCTCACTGATTTCATCCTCAAGTTTCCACACAGTGCCCACCAGAATTATGTCCAACAAGACCGGCAGAAGGCAGACATCAATACAAAATGGGCAGCCACACGATGGGCCAAGAAGATTGAAGCCAGAGAAAGGAAAGCCAACATGACAGATTGTGATCATTTTAAAGTTATGAAGGCAAAGAAAATGAGGAACAGAATAATCAAGAATGAAGTTAAGAAGCTTCAAAAGGCAGCTCTCCTGAAAGCTTCTTCCAAAAAACCACCTGCTGCTAATGGTACTGCTGCCGCAGCTGCTGCTAGAGTTCCAGCAAAAAAGATGACTGCTGCGGGCAAGAAGGCTCCAGCCCAGAAAGCTCCTGCCCGGAAAGCTGCAGGCCAGAAGGCAGCGCCTGCTCCTGAAGCTCAGAAGGGTCAAAGAGCTAGACCCCGGCCGGACGTGGTGGCTCACGCCTGTAATCCAAGCACTTTGGAGGCCAAGGCGGGCGGATCACCTGAGGTCGGGAGTTCAAGACCAGCCTGACCAAATGGCGAAACCCCGTCTTTAAGAAAAAAAAAAAAAAAAAAAAAAGTATAAAAAAAAAGAAAAAAAAAAAAAGCTCCACCCCAGAAAGCACCTTCTCCAAAGGCATCTGGCAAGAAAGCATAAGAGGCAGTTATAAAAATTAATAAAGGTTCTTTTTGACTTGTTGGCAAATTTTTATATAAGTCTTTGGATTTAAAGCCTGTTGTTGAGGCTAGTGTTAGGAGGCAGACTGATAGCAGGATTAGAATAAACAGTAAAGAATAAAAAAAAAAAAATACAAAAATTAGCCAGGTGTGGTGGCTCACACCTGTAGTCCCAGCTACTTGGGAAGCTGAGGCATGAGAATCACTTGAACCCGGGAGGCAGAGGCTGCAGTGCAGTGAGCTGAGATTATGCTACTGCACTTTAGCCTGGGCAACAGTGAGACTCGGTATCCAAAACAAAAATACATCAATGACTAACAGGATTTCCCTGCCAGTGTTATCTCCAGTGACTTCCCACCTATCTGGGACCTACTCGCCAGCCTCCTCCACTGTCCCCACTCCCATCCACCCTACTGCTCCCCAGACTGTGATGGGATGCTCCCCATGCCCTCACATGGCACCCGTCCCCTGTTCATGACCCTTCAGGAACTTGGGGCCTCCTGGGCCCCACACTTTGCACTAGCTGCTGCCCCACCTTCCCCACCTCCCCCCTCGTACTCAGCAAGATTCTGACTAACCCTGGCCACAGTGACCCAAGGCTGCACCTCCACCCAATCTTCGGTTTGTGCTTTATCATCTGTGAGCACAGTTCTGCAAAACTGCCTCAGTCCAGTTGGGTGCCCTCATAGATGAGGAAACGCACAGAGAGTGTGTGCCCAAGCTCTGGTCTCTACTGTAGATGGGCCAAAAAACCTGGGCTGTGTTTGTCAAAGGGCTTTGTGAACAGGCCAAGTGCTGAATAAAGGTGGGGCTTACAGGGTTAAGGAACTGTGATTGCCTTGAGGATGAACGTGGTTAAAGCCAAACCAGAGAACTTTGGACCTGTGTGTGGTGGGGGCGGGAGAAGGGTGGTGGGGGGAGCAGAGACAGCAAGAGGGAGGAAATGTGATGTTGGCAGAGAGGGAGGGATGGCATCGTTAGATAATTGGCTGGTAAATACATATAATCCTTTGTAAACACATCCATACATCCATGCCCTCATGAAAATGGTCATAGAAGGGGCCAGTCCCCAGTTGAAGCCTGACAAAGCCTCCTTTAGACAGATGGAGACAGACGCCCAGCTGAGCCTGGCACCATTCTTCCTTCACATTCTTTCCAGTCCACTGTGCCCACGCCCAGCCTCTACATCTCCTGCCCACCCCTCGAGTTCAGAAGGCCTAAGCTTTGCCAAAGTTCTCTGGTCACCTACCTGGAGACAGGAGTCCTTTCCAGAGATGTTGGGTGTGCCAGAAAACCACAGGAGGTGTTTTCCATCTCATCACGGTGGCGGAGGGAACAGACAGGAGCTGGGCTGCCTGGGTTTGAATCTAGTCTTCCTATTTTTACTGAGATTTTGCGCAAGGCAATCTCTCTGTGCCTGTTTCCTCATCTATAAAATAGAGATGTACTGCCCGCCTCATAGGGCTGTTGCCAGGTCAAATGAGTCTACTCACGTATCATCCAGTGCAAGCATTTAGTGCCTGACAAAGTGGTGAGTGACACCCATTTGCCATGATCGCCCTGCCTCTCCCCTTGCTCCTTTGACTCCCTCCTGATCTCAAACCTTTACTGCAATGTTCCTCCCGCATCCTTACCTCCCCCAGAGGCCTGCCTCTCCCTGCTCTTCATCCCTTTTCGTTCTTTCCTCCCCTCCAGACCATCCTTAGTCCTCCCTACTCTCTGTGGATGCTCCCAGGGTCCCCTGCTGCTCAGAGGCCACAAGCCAACCCCTCTCTGCCCTGCCCCACACACAGCACACAGCGAGCTGTCCTGTCCACCTCATGTTTTATTGTAAAAATGTTAAAATAAATTACATTTGACATCATTGCCAGTATGTACATACAGTGTGTGCGATGCCAGGACAACCAGCAACAACATGAGTTCATTAGAACATTTCACAGAAAAATACGAGGCTGTTCCTTTTTATGTCCCTGCCGGGTGGCAGCCTCAACAAATGACTAAAGGAGGAGTGGGGGCGTGGGCATGTACCCATCACTGTCTTCACATGTTGGGGAGGTGGGCGCTGGCCCCACTGCCCCGCAGTAGAGGGGCAGAGGGCACAGAATGAAGGGGGCTGGGATGGTCTGATGACTTGCCTCCTGCCCAGCATCCAGTAGCCTGCAGTGGATACCCCTCCCATCTTTGCTCACCTCAGTGTCCCCTTCTCCACCTCTGCTTGGGGACATGGCCCTTGACATCATGGCCTTGACTGAGGTCACTGAGCAAGGCCCAATTGAGTTGTGGGGCAGGAGGGCAGACACCAGACCTTCCAGTCCTTGGGACCCTGCTCTTTAACCACTGGCTCTGAAGCCAACAACAAATTCCAGGTATATAAAAACAGCAGTTTGTTAAAAAAATAAAATAGAAAAATAAAGAATAACAAAAACATTCAGGATGCAGTGGGCCAGCCCCAGGGTGAACATCACGGAGAACCCAAGAACTCCAGTAGCAGCGAGTTCTGCCCACCCCTCACCAGAGAGTCCACGAACAGTTTCACATTATCTTTCGCTCCCCAGCCCAAATCCTTTCCTTTACACACACGGGTACACATGTGTGTGTGCACACACATGCACTGCACATACACACATGCACATCAGACAGTAGCTATAGAGAGGAGCTTGATTCACATATTTGACCATTGCCCATTTGTGGGCCGAGAGCAATCTGGTCTCACCCTACCTGGCCCAAGTGGGTTGGTGGGAGGAGAAGGCGGGCAGTGAGGTCCTTGTTTTGGGGACAGGGAAGGAGAAGACAGTGGGATGGGGAGTGCAGGTCCTCGGGCCAGGGGGTGGGGTGTACAGTTCTCCAGCAGGCAGGAGGGGTAAGGTAGAACGAGCCAGAGCTGAGCATCACTCTTGTAGCTCCCTGGTCAGCAACCCCAGCAGTCCTGGCTTCCAGTAACTCATGCCCTGCCATTCTCCCTCCTTCCGACCACTCAGGGGACCACAGAAAGCCAGGGACAGGGAACAGAGCTCTTGGCTGGGCCTGAGTGGACCAACAAGGAGGATGAGGAGTATGGGGACCTCCGGCCCCGGGCCCACATGGGACTTGTCTCCAGGCCCTGAGTCAGAACTGTTTGAGCCCCTGCGCTCATGTCACTCTGACCTCCAGCAGCCTCCACCCCACTGCAGTTTGTAATAGGTGCCCGACCAGACCGGCAGGCCCACAGCTGGGATGGGGGCGGGCCCTGCCCCCGCTGAGGTACGTATGGAGATGCCTGACCCTACGCACAGTGGTACCTCCCCAGACACTTCAGAGCTCCCTCCCCAAATGCTGAGCTCAGTAATACTGGTAAACAGCTGAGGCCCTGAGTCTCAGAGAACTGTGTGACCACCAAATGCCGGGGCAAAGACCCTGCAGGCAAGGCCTCCTCAGGGTCACTGCTGCCTACCTGTCTGGCCAGACTGCATGTCTTTGCATTGTGAGATACACCAGTTAAGCTCAGGACAGATGCCCCCACAGCCAGGGTATGGTTCAGCTGGAGAACAGAGGCCCCGTCCTGGGCCTGCAACTAACTGGGGATGATGGAAGGTAAGGAAGGCCCCTGGCCCCCTCTCCCAGTTCCAAGGCTGCCCCCCACCAGGGGCCAGGGGTCCCGGCCATCTCAGGCCACCCCATGAGGGGGGAAGAGGCCGTGAAAGGTGGGGTGGGGAGCCGGCCCTGCCTCACGTGCCCTTGGGGCTATTAGCCTTGTTGTACTCATTCATCAGCTGTTCGTAAGGCACGGAGAGCTCAGACTCGGTGCTGGTGAAGGTGGACTCGTCGGAGGAGGGGATCTCGCCCATGTTCAGGGTTGCCTTGGCTTCGGCCCCCTCCTGGGGGCTCTCCTCCCCTGCCAAGTTGTCCTCTAGTGAGGACTTGGAGGTCTCCTCGTCCAAGAGGCCAGCATCCTCATTCACAAAGGTGATGCTGGCATCCTGGAAGATGAGTGGGTGGTAGTCCTGGACGTCCCACGGCTCACATTCCTCGCTGATGCGGTCCAGCTGGTTCATGAACACCTCGGGGGCAGGGGAGCTGTCCTCAGGGGCCCGTGTCACGGCCTCCTCACCTGGGGGCCTTGATACATGGCCTTTGTTCCTCAATGTCTGTGACACCTCTTCCAAGCTGGGCACCCGGTTCTTGGAGTAGACCACCAGGGGCGCCAGGGAAGGGGGCAGTGCTGGCAGCCCACCACCTTGAGACCCCAGCCCCGGGCCTGGTCCCGGGCCCCTCTCCCCACCCCCGCTTGTCTTCATGGCCTTCTTCCCGATCTGCTTGATGAGATCATTGTAGGTCTCTTCCTTCTTGGAAAGAAAGCTAAAGATGTTGACGTCCTTGGAGGCTGCACTCCCCTTCACCTGCAGGGCCGTCCGGGAGTGCGGGGAGCTCTCGAAGGACTCCTTCCGTCGCCGCCGCCGCTTCTTAATGGCTTTGTGGACTTCCACAAACATGCTCACCTTCCAGTTGACAAAAAGGGACAGCCAGGCCAGCCCCAGGTAGATCCAGAGCTCCACGAAGTAGCGGTACAGGGCATGGTAGTTGGCGCTAGGGTTCACACCTGAGTGGACAGGAAGTCCAGCGGTCAGGAAGAGTTAGCAGGGCCCGGCCAATGGTGTGTGATCTGAGCAGGGGTCAGGCCAGAGCACAGGAGTGGGGTACAGTGGGATAGAAAGGGGCCTGTTCTAGACCCTAGACTATATCCCATCTTTCCAAAGGGCTTGGGCCTGCCGTCATTCATGACCCTATCCCAGTCTCCAGCCTATCTCTGAGTCTCAGTTTCCTCAACTACAAAAAGTTAAGACAGGCCAGGTGCGGTGGCTCACACCTGTAATTCCAGCACTTTGGGAGGTTGAGGCGGGTGGATCGCCTGAGCTCAGGAGTTTGAGACCAGCCTGACCAACATGGTGAAACCCCATCTCCACTAACAATACAAAAATTAGCCGGGCATGGTGGCGGGCATCTGTAATCCCAGCTACTCGGGAGGCTGAGGCAGGAGAATCACTTGAACCC